GAGGAGGGGAGGAGGGCGGAGGAGGGGAGGGGGATCCCGTTTCGCCTGAGGTGACGAGCGCGCGCCCGGCGCACGACGAAGCGGCTAGCTGCTCCGGAAGAGCCGCCGAGCTGCTGGACGGATGGAGGCTGACCGACGACGACGACTGACGCACCGGCCCGGCTGACGAGCGGGAGATGTCGGAGCGGGGAACGCCGCGGCGGATGCACGCGGGATGTCGGCGGGCCGAAATTACAGAGGAGCGACGGAAAAGTGGGATGGACCGAGTGGGCGGAGGGCCGGCGGTGGATGTCCGGCGGCCGATGACACTCTCGCCCGCGCCGCCGTTACGGCAGCGGATTTGGGCGAGGAAAAACCTATGAAAAACTAGATGAAAAGTCGACTCTGCGGGAAGGTGCGCGATAAATATACGAAGCACTTTTTCGGCCGACCGCGTGGAAGAGCAGGGCAGAGAGGGTGCAAATTGCTGGCCGTTGCAAATTCGTCTGTAGAGAGGTAATGGGTGGTCAAATATGATGATGGTTTTCGATCAGAACAAAGCGAAATAGATAAATATGCATTTCCTTTATGTGCAAAAATTAAGCGTAAAAAATACTCATTCAGTAAAATTTGCAGTGATGGGGCGTCACCAGCATGTTTTAAATGTTAGACAGAGATAGAGTAATGCAAATTCGAACCAATTTGATGAAATATTTCCTTAAAGGAATCAAATTATAACTATTTAACTCAATTAAAGTTTGGATTGTGTCCGGGCTCTTATTGCGATGTATGTAAAATTACGTCAATTCCAGCTCTAAACGTGCGTATCATATGTATCATACGTTTCTTCTTCCAAGTATGTCAAGTTTTTACTCTCTGTAGCTATTTCTACAAACGTATGTATTGCTTGAATAACGATGTTAAAAAACGTAATATTTTTCAGAAAATGTCTCTGATGTAATAAAGCGAATGAAATTCTCAGTACCTACTCACAAATTGCAGAATTTGCTACACATTCATCCGTTATTGGAAAAGGAAAATATTCAATATATGAAGACAATGGCTTCATTCATCAGCGGTTTAAAGTACCAATTTTTTGCGCGTTGTGTGAGAAAACCTGTAAACAACTACATGATCCATTCTGAGTGAGGGTGCGAGAGAAGTTAATGAAACACTCCTTCGTCAAACCGTTTGGAAGTGTGGAGTCAGCTGTCAGTTTTACTCGCCTGCCAATAAGGAAATGAACGGTAAAATGTGGTGATGGTGGTCGATCAGATAAAAACGAGATTGATAAATACACTTTCCCTTGATCTAAAATAAATTAAGCGTTAAAAATTCTCAGAATAGTAAAATTTGAAATGTTTGCTCCAACAGAATGTTAGACAGCTCCAGAGGATTTTATAAAAAACTTAATTCGGTCGACACTATTTGATTTTTAATGAAATATTTAATTGGAGATTAAATCCAGAACACTTCTCATTGACTTTTCACGGCAGGTATAATATTACATTAATTCATCATTTAAATTTGTATGTCACAAGCTTCTCCACTTCTAAATACATAAAATATACTCTCAGCAATTCCTCGTTCGTATATAATGCTTAAATTATGTCTTTGGAAAGATGTTTCCACACATCGTATACAATGCTTAAATTATGACTTTGATTTTTCACGCTGATCTTCAGTAGAAATCAGATACGTATCAGATAAGTGATCTTCAGTAGAAAACAGCTAGGGAAATTTCATTGAAAATAATATATCCTGTTGTCACAGAAAATTACTAATTGTAGAATTTGTTTTCTAATATTTTCTTTCGAGAGGAAAAATGCTTAGTCAAAATCAAAGGGGAATAAAAAATTCGAAAATACTATATCATCTTAAAAACGAATGCCCATATGTATCCGATATATAATGTGCCCACTTTTAGCATTTACCCTTCTTAAATTTTGTCTTTAATATAAAAAATAATTAACACAGTGTTGCAGAACAATGAAAATACACATACTCTACAATCAATTTGTATGGATCAATTTTCATTAATTTTATATGACCAATTTATTAGTGAACCTATTCGTAAATTGGTAGAAGCCATTACAAAACATAATCTCTTCGATGTGCAATAACCTTGATGCGAATTGTGAAATAAGAGAACTAAAAAAAGGAAATTTAAAACAGTGTACTATGTTATCAAAGCAATGCGGTGTAGGCAAAATTAGTTGTTTCTGAAAAGAAATACAATTTAAGGTTAAATTCTAAACAATTAGAAAAATAATACAACCTACATTACAGATCTCTTATTCTTGCGCAATTTCTTAATTTCGTACGTGTCCTTAAAGTAATTTGATCGTACAAAAGGAGTATTTAGAAATGAGCATCCCTTATAAAAACTAATATGAAAATCTGAAGAAGGTGATTCATGACTATATGAGAGGATGTTTATAAATGCCTCTCCACTTCTTTTGTTTCTAGCCATGAGACACTTTCGAAATATCATCTTGCCTCCTAACGTCTCTCTGATTTAAATAATGTTGTAGTTACTAATGTCATTTGGCCGTTATTTGTGTTATTGGTTTATGTCGTTCAATACAGTTCATAATTTTATCTTCTTATACGAGTAATAACTAGTGATGCTGCAACACCACATACTTTCCAGCATTATTTATAACTTATACAATTTTCAAAATTCTAAGACTTCAACGATAACCAGACCTGGGCCATTTTTTACGGGTTCTTTGCTGTATCGGACGAAAACATTAGGGCACCGGTTTTGAGATTTTTTTAATTGCCTATTTTTCACTCAAAATTACGCGACAATAACTTTTTTTTAATTGAACATGAACATATTTAAAGATCTACCATAGAATAACATATTTCGTTAAGAAAAAATAATTATTTTCAATAATGTAAGAAAACGAACATGGAAAAAATTTGAACGTTTGCTGGTTTCGAAAATTCAAAGATTTCAATGAAAATGAGACTTCAGCGAGAATTGTTTGTATGTTCTGTCAATTTCCTAAACATTAGATAAAAATTCAAAATATTTTTGTGGACAGACGATTTTGATTGTGATGCAGTGGCAACGTGATTAAAGTTCTGTATTAACCCTTCAAACTTTACTAATTTTCAGTGAAAAGTTAATAGTTGTGAACTTCAATGATATTTTCAGTTACTAAATAATCATCTTGTATAATCAGTGAAATATATATGTTATCAGTAAAAATACAACTGGAAATAAGACACTTGCCAAAACAATGGAGAACATATTTTTTTTAATATTGTTTGAACTCATAAAATGGATACATTTTCAAAGAAACCGTCGCCGGAAAGAAATCCGAGAATCGATTCCAAATCTTTGTGTTTGAAAAAGTTTCCTTATAAACGCGCATCATTGAACAACGCCCTTAGCTCGCAAATGGAAACAAGCGCCTACTGCGTGGCGGCGAGGGCGCCGCGGGGGAGAGGGGTGCTGCTGAGAGGGGGGAGGGGGTAAGTGGCGCGCGGCAAAATAACGACGGCGGCGGTGGTGGTGGTGGCGGCACCCGCGACGACAAAAATCAATGTTGCCAATGTACACAACTGATCGCGCGCGCGGTCGCGAAAGCGCCTCGCGATTCCGTGAGGCGTCAGCGAGCGTCGAGGGGGTTCCCGCACCGAAGCCACGTGACGCGCCGCGACGGCACGCGAGCGCGCCTACTGGGCAACATCCGTACCGAATGACGGTAGGGATAAGCGGCGGTATCCCACAATAAAATGCAAATACGAAAGAAAAGTTTATACATTGTCATATTGTTTACATAAATAGCCGTATGTGTATTTAGTAATACATTACTAACCGACTTTGGGGGCCCAAGGCATCAATTGATGCCACTGTAGGTATTTTGATTGGGAGATCCTAGGGTTCGAGTCCGGACTGTGGCAAGATTTTCCACTCTAGCTACATATATAGCTAGACCGAACTCAGCCGCTGTTTGGAGAAGAATTCTAGAGGCCGGCTGTTCCGATAGGTCATTTTCCGTGTTCTTCCCGATCAATACCAGGCGAATGCCGAAGCACTACCCTAACAAACGGGGTAAGAATCGCGCGCGGTATTTCCTTCCTTTTCCTTGCCCTCTCCTCACCCCGTACTGACACACACTTATGTTTACATGCGCTACCCTCCCACACAGGTCGGGAGTTTAGAGTTTGTCCCGGTGGGAGCGGAGCTTTGCTGTTAGGAGATACCTGGCGAGGGAAAACCTCGCAAGTCGACAGGTAGGTCGGCGTCGGGTCTCTCCATCCATCACCACCACCTCCTGAGATACAAGTATGCACCACACTTACGGGACTAATGAGTTTAGCCGTAGACGAGCCCGGGATCACTAATCCATCAATATTTTACAATCATTTTTTGCAAGTTACTGTTAAAATATTTTCAGTTTTTGAGGTACGACAAGGTCGCCTATTACATTACGCACATTTTCTGTTCTCACGGCCTTTCCGCGCGATAGCAGACAGCCACGCCAGTTTGCAGTTCAAGAACTCGTTCGACTTTCACTATGTAACTCGAATTGCAAATCTATTTCTCACATGATATGCTAAAATAAAATTTCAACGTGATTAAGAGCAAGTCTGATTGTAATAGAAAGCTGAAAATTGGTAGCTAACCCACAGTAGAGAAATTAGAAAACTGTGATTCAATTCTCACTTTGCATCTGTCCATTACTCACAGCTCCGGTTTTTCATATAAAAATTTCGTTGTTAATTGTATAACTTATCCAGCATTTCGGAACTAAATCTTTTACTCTTTTGTAATTTTCTATTCAAAGATAAACACTCACTTATCAATATATTCGTTATGAATTAAAATATACGCTTTGAAAGAAAGGCGCAAATTGTCTTGTGTATTTTGTCCTGAATAAACAGCATTTCTTTCACATTACTCAAGTAAGTTTCACGAAACGCGTCCGCGAAATTATGCATTGAAGTACACGTTTTCAGTATTTCGTTTCAGTTCACGTATTCACTGATAATAGGGTACTCACCAATGCATACTAATCCATGCGCAAGAACTCATGGTTCAGTGAAACACCTCGAAACCGTTTTTCAATCCCTCCCAGCACAATCTCGTATGAAGCAATGACACCAACCGTCTTCAGAAGGCAACAACTTTTTCTTGCCAAGGCGCTGCATCCTAATTCGACCTCGGTCGCGCACCGCCTGCTGGCGGCTCTACCGGCAACTTTCGGGATTACGCAGGGGGGGGGGAGGTTCAGAGGTGGTCAAGAAAGGGAGGGAGGGATTTCACGCGGGCCGTGGCCTGTTGTTCAAGGCATTCTCTGGCATATATTGGGCCTACCGATTACGTCATATTTACATATTACTTATTTAAAACTGAAAAATAGTTACGTGCTACGGGGGGAGTGTATTATGTGCACATTTTCTCAATAATTGAAGAATTATTTCTCAAGAATTATTCTGGAATCCCTATCCTAAGCCATATACAAGTTGAGTTCTGAATACCAAAAGAAAAGATCGTATTTGGCAAGAATTCATAGGAAAATATTCGCTCAGGTGTAATAAAGAATATTTGTAAGGCAACTAAGCTTTAGATGTGGGTTACTATTCCTCATCTTGCCTTTCGTAAGGGAAATGACTTACTGCAACAACATGGAAAACGGTAATTTGAATAACTCATTTCTCATTAAATTTAGAAGACGAGCAGAGAGAAATTATATTTATGTTCAGAAGCAATACAAGAGGGACATCTCAGGATAAAAGCAATTAATAAAAAGCAATTACATCTTTAAAGCAATATACGCCACGACAATAAACTTCATAGTTGACGTGCACAATGACAATTAGACAAATATTTTTAACATGTTCTTACAAAGCGAATCAAAGTATTTAAACTAAACAGACTTCTAAAAATCAGAAAAAAATTATACCACAAACACGTGTTCTCCGACAGCATTGTAGTGTCATTTCCTTACATCATCAGCCGCCGAGAGCAAATTTCTATTTGGCGCGCCGTCTTTATTAATTAGGCGCGAGGGTGAGGGGCCCTGAGAACCCGCAGCAATTCCGCCCCAGATCGCGCCGCTCGCGAAGTAAATCTCCGACTCCCGGCGGCGGAGGCGTCCCCGCCGGGGCGGCGCGCGGAGCGACGTTGGGCGGAAGGAGGGGGGAGGGGGAGGGGTGAGAAGCGGCTCGCGCGACGCCTCGCGCCGGCAACGGAGGCCTGTGTGGCGACGGCGCCGCGCCATCGATCTCGCGCCCCGCGCCGCCCCGCCGCCTTCACGTTCGCGCCCGCGCGCCGCCCCAGCGCCCCCCGCCGAACAATGACCCGCCCCCCACGCCCCCGGCTCGCCCAGCGCGCGCGCCCCTCGTCTCGCCCGCGCCGCCGCCGCCGCCTTCCACGCCCCCGCTTTCCGAAACGGCAGCGACGTGCGCCGTTGTCGCTGCGGCGCGGCGGGCCCGGCGGCGCGGGCAGCGCGCGGGGGCCGCGGCAGCGCCGGCCAAAGGCTGCACAATGGGCCCCAGACCCCTGCAAGGCGGCGCTGTTTTCGCCACGTCTTACTGAACGACACCTTCGCGCGCTGGGTTAGCTCGGGCAAACACTGTTGTCACTACAGCGACTTCTGACCGGGGCCTAAGATTTCGATAGCGGACGGCTTGCAGCTAGATAGAGAGGTAGGTCGAATTCAGCCTCCGCTGTTTAGCGGAGAATTCTAGCGGCAGGTCGCCCGGTTCGGTAGTTTCTCTGTTTTCTCCAATAAATACCAGACGAATGCCGGAGTAGTACCCTAACAAAGGGGCCACAGACCGTGCGCGTGCTTTTTTCCTCACATTTGTCCTCTTCTCTCACATTTCACACATGTAATCACTTACACTTATATGCTACTACAATACAAATCATATCGGGATAACAATACGGAACTTGAAGTTCGTCCTGGCTGAGGTGGTGCCCCTCTAGGGGAGATAACTCAAGAGGGAGGCCCACCGCAAACTGACGTGAAGGACAGCGCTGGATTTCATGTTCGAGCGAGGAAGAACCCCGCCACCTCCGTTTATATAACATTTTCTACACTTCGAGATTTTCAAATCAAGCGTCGAAAACACCAATCAAACATTCACCCTACCGGTAAGTGTTCACCTACCGTCATTGTTCATGCCGTAACTCCACCGTCCTTCACAGCAACGGTAAACCACCGCTGAGATCTGCCCAGGAAGGCGAGAGCATAACAGCGTAAGCCTCCTGCCTTATCTGCCCTCAACAACCGAGTCATTTTCGCCTGGCGGCAGTGCTGCCTTCACAAGGGCAGTGCAAGTTCATCCTCTCTCTGACAGCCTAGTCATTGAGAATGAAAATCTTTCTATTCTTATCTGAAGCATGATGCCAGTAACCAATCTTTATATCCACACCTGGTGTAACTATATTTATGGTGAGTGTGTGATGATAACCACATGATTTGAATGATAATGGAGAATATGATGGAAAGAAAGACGAGGGAAATGGAAATATCCCGAAGAAGCCGGCCGTAAATCTGCTTTGTGTCACAAATTCCGGATTAACCGGTATTTGAACCGCGGTACCCAGAGTGGGAAGATCAAGCTACTACATCGCTGGTAATCTAATCTACCCGGGCTATTCAAAGAGTATTCTTTCCAACAACTTCGGCTTATAATTTTTTCTTGGTGTAAAGGTGCCAGTGATAGAGAGTCATCATTAGCCACAATTTTCAGTTTTATGCACCATAATCCTTTCTGAGCATCTTCTCTCACTTCAGAATCATAAATTTTAATTTTGTTTTCGCCAGACAGTAGAATAACTCGATTGAGTTTCTTAATCGTACATTGATTTATAATTTTCAAATGCCATAATAAATTTCAAAAGAATAAAGTTGAAGTCATAGTGACGTTTTCTAGATAGTGTTGGATTTGCATCGAACCTGACTTTCATTTCCTAAAATTTTCCTAAAATTAAAAAGCTGCATTAAGTAACCAAGAGGGAAAATTATCAATAGTAAAAGTATCATTCAATTATTTTATTAACTTTCTTATGTTATGACTGTCTTAATATTTAAATTTAATTTTATAAATATGGCCCTATGTACACAGACATATTATTGTGGGTAAAGAATTGAGAAAAAACAGTTGACCTGATTTCTCAATTTGTTTACCCACAATAAATGGATTGTCTATAATTATATTTAGTACCATATTTATGGAACTAAAAATAAGCTTATTATCTTCTTTCAATGGTAGATCTGAGATAAAAACATTCTTCAGAAGAGAACCCGAACGCCAAGAAAAGGACTGCGAGGGGAATATCCAGAAGAATAATGCAAAAATGGGCGTTAACATGATGAAGATGACCTGGATGAATCAACTCAAGAGCCCTAGAGAAAGCATTGTGTCTACGGTGAGAAACCCGAAAATTTTGCCCTGCAAGTTTGGAGGCAGTAAAGTTGCAGTCTTATTACCAAGGTAACCTACAAACGGGCAAGATACCCTGTCAAGCGAAATATTAAAACTTTCAGAGCGCAGCAAAGTCTCATGTACAACGACAAGCCATTAAAAATGGTATGGTTATGGTTTAGCGAAACATTTATAGATATTGACTTGGAATGTTAGATTGTTAAAAGTAAAATACAATGATTAATTTAACGACTCGACCAATTTTAATTATCTCTGATTTCTTGGATGCATCTCCGCCCCGAATAACTATTGAAATATTGAAACAAATCACTGGATGGCGGCTTAGAACAAAACTAAAAATTCACGTCAGATTCAACCCGCAACTCACCCGGCAGGCGTTTTTGAATCTGTATCGTTAAATAACACCGAAAAGAAACGTTCTGGGGCATTAAAAACTAAAATGTTGTGGCCAAAGATCTAAAAGAAACGTTTCTCACACATTAATCTATAGGATATGATCTTTTTAAACATTCTATTAGATTTTTGGTAGGGGGAGATGAAGAGAGGAAGAGAGGGAGAGAGGGGGAGAGGGCGGAGACGAGAAAGGGAGATGAAGGACAGAACAATACCTGTCGGGTTTCGCTATTTAATATAATAACGCGTGTATGTAGTCATCTTGACAGAAACAAAGAATAAAAATACAGAATGCCAGAATTGTAAATGTTCTTATGGAGAAGATACTTGGCCACAGTAACGAAGATACCCTGCACAAAAATGCACGAACGTTAAGATACTTTGCTGTTTTAATAATATGAAAATAATCCACACCCTTTAGAAGCATAAACCTATTCATAAGATAATTTGCGAAGTACATGGTCAAATTATTGCGATGGATCATATCGTGGCAAATGATAAATTAAGTCAAAAAATTGCAGGAGTAAGAGTTTATAGAAGTTACAATATAGGTACTGACTACTTTGCACTCTTTGGAGCGATAAAAGAACTGAATAGTAGGGTTACAATTAACAAGAGACCAACTTATCTTATCTACAAGATTTGGAACGTATATCTGAAGAATGAAGAATACGACAAATCACTGTATCAACAACACATAAGTCAATATAACAACATATAAGAATTATCAACAACGTGGAAGAATAATGGGGAAATAAAAAAATTATTGTTGAAGAAACAGCGTACGAAACACTTGGATTTACCTAAAAAACCACGAAGAGGGAAGAACTTAAAATATGGATTAAAGAAATTAAAGAAGCTGTTATGAGAAAAAGAAATTTTATCTGAAATATCTATCCAATAAATCTCTACAAACTAAGAAGGAATATACCACAGTTTCGTATTATTTTAATTATCTAACAACGAAATATCGAAAGATAAATATATAATATATATTGAAAAACCATTCATGAACGCCACGAATCCACACATAAAATTATATTGATTTAACAAAATTACGAAATACCTTTAATATACCAGGCAATATAAGAGAATAGCATTCATAAAAATAATTAAATAAGATGCTCTCTTATTTTAAAAACCTTTGGTCAGAAAAGAATATGAAACAGAAGACAGAGAAAACACAGAAGAAGGTGTAGAACAGATAGAATATGACGAACTGGAGGAAGTATTAACTAATATAAAAATTAGGAAAGCCAGTGGAAGTGATGACATTAAAGCACGAACGCTTAAATATTAAACAAAAGAATTTAAAACATGGATTTTTCACTTCTTCAATACATGGTGAA